AGTGAAAGCAGGAAGCACAGCTCGATCGCGTAGCCACGCTTCTTTTCAGAAGACGTGACTTCTGTTAGCCCCAATCCTGACCTAGAGCACACTAAATTAGTTAATGATTCTATTAATAAATAAGCACAAGGAATGGATAATTTATATCCAGACAAATTGCTGTTCAATAGCCAATTTACAGGTGGGAAACCTTTCTAGTTTTATGAACACTAATAGCGCGTCAGCATGGAACGCGTCTTATAAAGCCATTCATGGCAGAAGTAAATAAAAAGAGAAAAAGTTGTAATTCTATCCTTTTTAGACTAATATTTACATGCAGATTGGTTGTCATTTTAGTGGTAAGTCTCCAAGTGAAGACCAAAGAAATTGGCCCGCAATTAAGGCTTCTCGAAAGAACCATTTCCTCGTCCGTTTATAGAGAATCTATGAACCAGCATAATCGAAAATCACTTGTTTGGGTCTAGTTATACACCAATTAACCTTACCGTGGACTTGAAATCACCAGCAACAAGGGAGAAGTTTGCGCGAATCTCTTCAAGCTGAGGATCTGAGCCAAGCAAAAACAAGTAGACAGAGTATTTGAGTGTGTTCGTCTCGAAGACGGGCACATGGACGCAAGTGAACATGGTGACGTTCGGCTGGAAGTTGGCGGTAAGGAAGTCTATTATATGGTCTTTATTAGGTTTTCCATCATAAACAATCTGCCATGGCTCCTCCTAAGCGTTTCAAAACGTTGATGTGGAAATGACGGTGATGTTGTATGGCAGAAGTGGACAGAAAGGAAATAAAAATTAATAAAAATGGATAACCCCCAAATGGTTGATATAAGGAGAATTATCAGATAATTTGCAGAAGCTAAAATAAAAATGTCTAGATATTAAATCCGATTTAATACTTTAAAAATGAGTGCATAAGTCTACATTCGTTTGCCTGTACGCTTGCTTGCTGGATACCAATTGACCGTGTAAATTGGTGTGTATGTTAGTCGGGTCGTTTATTCAAGCTAGAGTGCACCAAGTCTCACCTTCCGAAACAGGATCAAGCTAACGAGCTCATTAAGTCCATAGTGATTTTTCACGCTCGTGTCGTAGGTTAAGCCCACGTGCAAGTCCGCATATGCCTCGGCCACCTCAACGTAGACGCTGATCAGTGATGTGTTTGGGCTCTGAATTAAAATAAAATGAGCAATTAAATTGTTGATTAGTATGAACATGGCTTGATAAAGTGGCCATTAGTGTGTTGTAGAAAGCGCTTTCAAGCAAAACTAGGTCATATATACACTATCCTGGAGAGCTAAGGGCATCTAGTATTCATATTTTATGCCCAAATGATTGTCGATAAATCCCCTGATTGATCATTGTTGGGCTGACCTTCATTTCTAGTGAAAGTCTGTAATCACAATCAGCATCATGATAAGACATGGCCCTCTTTTCCTGCGATAGTTTGTGTTGGATAAGATATCTGCAG